CGGTAAGTAGGCTTCTTATAGCGTCGATTGTAGCGATATTCCCGCTTGTATCGAATTTACAAATTACGGTAATAACGCCCTTTTTTAGCCTAATACCGAGCTCTCTTATAATAGTACTATCGCTTCTTAGGCGCGGTCCTAACCTTATTATATACCTTCTATAGGTTCCCTAGGATAAAAGGGAAAGCTAATCCCGGTATAACGTAAGCGTATACTATCTATCGGAATCCGTTAATTTCTATCTAGAAGGCGACGACTCTAATAATTTTTGCGTCCTATATTATAGAAGACGCTCCTTTTACTTCTTAGGACTCTCGGCTAATATAGCTAAGCCCGAGGCCTTTAGCTAGGCCCGTATTAATTATAGCGCAGCACTAGTATCCTTCGTTAATAAGAGTAGAAGTTCCGACGTTATTTTCGAGGACTATATCGGTATATATAAGGTTCCCGTTTATATCCTTTTTAACTTCTTTCTATTTCTTTACTCGTACTTTATCTACTCTCGACTCCTAACTATAAGCGAGAGTTACTCTTTTCCCGAGTTGGAACTACCTAAGTCCGACTAATCCTCCGCGTCTTTTAGAATAGGTTATACGGAGGTAACGCTAATCTTAGTAGGCTAAACCGGCGGTACGTACGAGTAATCGCAAATATAGTACCTACTCGCTCTATAGCGGAAGTAGAGCCTTTTCTCCTTACGTTTCTCTCTTTCTATAGAGTTAACCTATTTAGCTCTAGGCTTCCCTACTATTCTTTATTAACCTCCGCGGTTCTTTCTATAAAAAGCGTTTATTTAAGTAGGGTTTATAACTACGTCTCCGTCGGAGTCGACCTTCGGGTTTGCTATAGGAGCTATATAGGGTAGGATAACTACCGTAGGGCTCGCGGCCTCCTTCTTCCTTTCTTACTAGCGTTTCGTAGCCTATTTAAACTAGTCCGTCGTCTCGAGGTTCGTTATAATTCGCTCGACTTCCTCTATATAAAGATAGTAATCCTTAATCTTTAGTACGGCGGCAGTATAGGTTTTAGCTATATTCGAGAAGATATTCTTTAAGTATCCGATTTTCGTATCGTCGGTTTAACGGTCTCTACCTACGCTTAGTAGGAGGCCGTCGAATTCTAGCTAGTAGTCGTACTAAGGTTGTCCCTAAGTATACCTTAAGGCTTAGAGTTGCTCTAGCGCCTTAGTAGCTTCGTTACTATCTACGAAGACGTCTTCGAGTTACTAGAAGAAAGCCTCGGGGTCCTTTCTTTTTATAAGGCTTCCTCTTTCCTAGAAGTAGCGTATCCTAGCGCGTTTCTTCGCTAGTAGGGTATCGTAAATAGTATCCTAGTAGTAATCTTCGGAGAGCTTCGGTTTTAATCCGGAACGAACTTAGTACGAACTTCTTAGTCGTAGTAAGTAGTCCCGGAATATCTTAGCCTTTCTATCCTACGATAGTAGCTTCTATTTACGTAATGCCGTTACGTTTTAGCTAGTAGCCGAAAGGGTTTCTAGGAGTCCTTTTAGGATCTCGTTCGTAGACTAGTCTCGTAATATACTAGCTTCGGTAGACCTAGCCTAGCGAGATACTTCTACGTATTAGAGCGCGGAGCGCGTAGCTTAAAGCTAGGCTTCTGTTATCTATTACCTAGTATAGAGACTCTCGAAGCCTCGAAGGCGCGATAAATCTTATCCCTAGTTATCTCTAGCGTAGTAGGGGTAGCGTTTCCCTAGCTATCTTGCTCGGGTTCCTAATAAACCTTAGCGTTTCCTATAATAAAGATCGAACCTAATATTACGGGTAAGTAACGCGTACGTAGATACTAGATATAAGACTTAATAGGTTCGATAAAGAGCTAAGTCTATCTACGTAAATACGAATAGTTTTATATAGTACGCTAAGTACTAAGTAGTAGGTTAGAGTCGCGTAGGCCGAACGCCTAAGGCTAGCGCTTTCTACCTAGGGCGTAGCCCTTTATAATAGGGTAGAAGAATAGGTGCCTTTATTTATATAGATTTAGTAGAAACGGGCTTTTTAACTATAATATTCTACTTAGCTATAATCTACTAAGTTATAATACGGTCTATACGTACTAGCCGCTCTATCTGATTCTCTAGCTTACTAAGTAATAACTTAATATCCTTAGAGAATAGGTAGTATTTAGCGTATAATAGCTTAGCTATTATAAAGAGTATAGAATTAGCAATAGTAAGGTTAAAATAAGCGTAATACGTAATACAAGGAAAAGGTAGAATAGGTTAATAAATAAAAGGGAGAAATAGCCGCTAGATAAGGTCTACTTTAGCTTCCTTATTTATAGGCCTATACTATAACGGAGACCTTATATTCGAGGTAACTACGAAGTCGCGAATAACTAGCTAAGAGGTCGTAGGGACTAAGTGTTTAAATAGGGCTCCGTAGGTGCTAAGGCTTAGTATAGGCCGAGCCGGCTTTTATATATTTGCTAGCTCGTAAAGGGCTTGCCCGTAATATATACTATACGATTATAAGGCTTTAAATTAGCCTAAAATTAGACCTCTTAGTAGTCTATATATAGCCTATTAATAACTATAGAAGTAGTTAAGCGGCCTTATAAACCTAGCCGCCGTAGCGGCGCGATTTATACCCTTGTCTTAGTTAATATACTTTAACCTTTGCTACAAAGATATATAAACTTAATTCTTAATAGGGCGCAGAGATTAGGCTATTATAGACTTTAGCAACTATAAACGAGCCCTCCGTATCGGCTCTCTAAGTTTAGCAACCCGAAGTCGTCGTCGGAAGAAGTTAGGTAGGGTTCACAAATTAGGGCATTCAATCAACGACCTTAACAGACGAGAAGCCGAACAGCCGATGTTGCGCAAGGGCAAGAAGGAAGCGGAGTCGGGATACGCATACCCCTTGGCACATTGCATGTAGAAGTCGCATTTGGTGCAATTCCACTCCGGCAGATAATCCATCCCATCCCTTTGTCAGGAATGAACGAGTCTAAGCGAATCGCCTAGATTCGTCAGTATCCTGCACACTGTGTGAAGAGCCTGCTGATGCCCAAGATCTGCGCAGTGTGTGGGTATACAGCATGCGGACTCCGGTGCGTGTAAAGCGTTCACCGGTTCATGTGAATGTGAAAATCTGTCTGCATTTCCTGCGCCCAAGTGTGGAAATCTGGCAGGGAATGGAGGAGGATCCGCAGTGTGCTATCGCAATTGTGCAATTTGCTGCTTAAGGCGAAGAAGTTCCCCAGTCCAGAAAATGTGCTGACCGTCATGCCTGAGTGTCATCTGCTGCGGTAGTGTAGTATGTCGTGCCTTGCCTCAAGCATGGAAACCAGGTGGAGTCTCAGAAGAGGCGCTTGACGATTGGCCATTGTCGTCGGTGCTGCGAAGCACCCTGTGCTCTTTGCCTCCAGCACAATGGTATGCATTCTGCTCCAAACATCTAACGCGCGGCACGCTCTCGGAGAATGAAGATGCTGGCAGTTGACAGGTGGTTGGAATGTAGAGATGGAGGTGACGGTCGCCGGTCGTGATTGCCCCATGCTCGGCACTTTCCTCGGCGTCGCTTGGAATGGCGGAAGGTTGTTCTGACTTCAGGTGAGCATGGGCACGGATGATGATGTCCGGTACAGCCAACGATGGGGTGTGTCAGTGTGATCGAGAGCAGTAAGAAAAGCGAGCCGAAGTACTGTAGCGCAAACTCTATCACTGGGTTTCCGTCTGGCTTCGGCTTCGCGGCCGGAAGGGCAAGGGACGCACAGTACACTGCAAATTGTTTCCTGAGGCTTTCCTCCATTTGTTTAGGCAATACACCGGTACCCCATATCATACCGCTCCAGACAGCCCAGATGGACCCGCAGTGCATGCCGAGCTGTCGTACAAGATCCTGAAGAGGATAGTGTACAGATCGACTGTGGGCGGATAGCAGCGGCAGCACTGGGGGGCCCCGGCATGCTTCAGGCCGCATTGGTGAGGCCGACAGCATTTCGGCTGCTGGCTGTTGGTGACCGGACGGCGGCGGGGCGGCCTACTGGAGGGAGTGGACCCGAGTGGTTAGGGAGAGGAGAGGTGCTGCTGCGGAGATTCCCTGGCGAGCCGGGCATCGTGCAGCACTGCAGCCTGCACGCAGTCGCCGGGACATGTCTACAATGACTCCATGCCATGCCATCATGCCAGTTGCCGCCGGCGCCGCGCGTCTACACTCTGTCACACACCACACGGCCTGCCAAGGGTGCCGAAAGACTGCTGCAGCAAATCGCCGTCTGTATGGCGCCTCTCTGGATGCTCGTCCATTCCCTCGGTCAAATCACCCGAGGCCGCCGGCGATCGAGGCCATCGGGATCAAGGTCAGAAATGGGCACGGGCACGGGCACTCGCACGGGCACGGCTGAGGGGGAGAAATGGGCTGTGACATGGTAGACCGTAAAGCGATCTGACTTCCGCCTCGCTACCCATCCGTGCCTCTTGTTTAACCATACCGTTGTCCCAAATCTCTTCCATCTGTACCACCTGGGCGCCGAGCTCTTGCTGCTCGACAGCACTACGCCATCATTCTGCAGGCACCATCATTCATTTCTTCGATATCCAGCACTTCCGCCCTCGCATAGCTTTCGGTCCGGCTAACCCGAGCATCTGCGAGCCCAGCTCCGAGCCTTGCCTTGCCTTTCTCACGCATGCCGAGTGCGAGTGCGTTTTCCTCCTTCCATTCCTAGAAGCGACCTTCCGTCGATGCAGAAGCTACTACCAGCTCTCAACCCAGCTCCGCTCTATAGTGACTGAGCACCACACCCTCCCAGCTCGAAACAGTGCACGTGTCCGAGCCCATTGACAGGCACGGGAACTAGAAGCACTGCCCATCGTGGAGCAAGAGAAGAACTTGGCAGATTCACTCCTCCACTCCTTCCAAGCGCCCGAGCATAAGAACTATCCCAACTACCACTCGGCAGACTACGCCCCTCGCCCAGCGGAGCGAGAGCCTGCTCCTGGGCCCTCGCCCAGGCAGGCACAAGGAGCAGGCCGAATGCGCTCGAGCATAGCATGTATTCGTTGTCGCCGATCGAAGGTCAAATGCGTGAACAATGGCGTGGGCACGACGTGTCGGTCGTGTGAGAACTCGGGCAGGGAATGTACATACCCTTCACCAGTGGCAGGTGGTACCAGGCGAAGGGACAGCATCTCTGGTCGAGCTGATGTGTATGGAGATGCGGAGCGGCGGCAGCGACCGCGTAAGAGTACGCACACCTTTGTTGCGAACCCAATGCCTGGGTCACGCGAGTCTCCACGGCCATTATTGGACGCCCTAGATGCGAGACTTCTCACGCCTCAGGTATGGCAAGAGCTGTTCGACATCTTTCAAATACACTACTCAGCAGACTTGCCGTTCCTGCACCCACCCACATTCCTCAAGCCTCTGCGCCAATCCGCGCTGCAGCCAGCACCGCCAACTCCAGCTGGGAACACTCCCACCGACTCTGCGAGTACTGCTCGACCACCAGCGTCAACAGAGTTTCTACTGGCTTTCTTGGCACTCACAGCTCGCTTCCATCCGAAATTGGTTCAGCATCACTCTCCACCGACTGCAAACCGGGCAAGCAATCCTTTGATCGCCTCTGAATACTACGCAGCCGCTGCAAACGAAAGGCTGGCGTCGATCTGGACTGACAATCGCAACCATGATATCGAACGGACACAGGCGGCTCTCATGCTTGGCTTGCATGAGTGGGGAATGTGTAGAGGATCCAAAGCATGGCTGACCGTCGGCATGGCCATTCGCGCTGCGCAATCCATGGGCTTGCAATACGAACTCGACCTGGATGACGAACCTCTGTCACGATCGCTGGCCTTGTCTGCCGAAGCCGAACGTCTAGGAATGAGTGGCGAGTCCAGCCGAAAGAACTCGACAAGTGGCAAGTCGAGCGAAGATCTCTTCATACAGCAGGAGATTCGGCGAAGAACATTCTGGAGCTGTTTCATTATGGACCGTTACCTGAGCAGTGGAAAGTACAGGCCACAAATGCTCCACGCCCGTGAACTTCGGATCCAGCTCCCTGCGAGTGAGCGATCGTTCTTGTTCGCAGAGAAAGTGCGCACGTTGATGCTAGGTGAGGACGACAAGGGCATCCACGGAACCGGACGAGCTGAGATCCAAAGTCAGCGACAACAGTCTGTGCTACTCGGTAAGTGCTTGCAATGGCTGAGAATCCAAATTCTGCGGATTCTGCCACCAAGCCGGCAGCGAACATTGCGAGGCGCCAATAGCGCCTTGTCAATGATCGAATGAGGCAAATGACTAACATTTCTTCGCTTATAGGCACTGGTACTCCAGAACCCAATCAGGCACCGTCTCCGCGCAGTATCGCAATGCGAGACGACGATGAAAAAGGCAGGCTCGAAGTGGGCTCTGATGAAGGTCTTGTTAGTCGCTACATCAAGATTCTCGAGATCTACGGCAAGGTCATCAGGTGGTCGTGCTCTGGTGGCAGAAGGTATGTTTTGAGGCCCTGTACCTTGTCATCGCTCGATTGACACTGTTGCAGAGTTGAGGAGCATCCTCCCTGGGATAGCCGATGCGAGTTCTATCGACTTCGTCGGCAGTGTCAGGAGTTTAAGGCCGCTCTGCCTCGCCAGCACAGTCTGACTCCACAGAACACGCAAGCTCACATCAGCTTAAAAACGTCAACTCCTTACACACTGGTGCATACCGTCTACCTGCTCTGCCAGATCATGCTTCATCGAGAATATGTGCCATTTATTCCAATTCGGTGCTCAAAGCCGGAAGGACCGATGGATCCACCTACCTTCCCTCCAGAGAAGTATCATGTTCCTCCTGGTTTCTGGGAAGAGAGCGCACGAGAATGTTTCCGATCAGCGCGAGAGATCATGGATCTTGTGCGGACGTGCCAGGAATGGTGTGCTTTAGTAGAGACGCCAATTGTTGGCTTTGCGGTATATACTGTCGCCTTCGTTGGCGTTTACTGCATCAACTTTCCGTGGATGGATCCAGAAGGCTACATGGGCACTCGCCCGGAACCCAATTCGAGACCAGATATGACAGCGAAGCCGGGAGAGAGCAAGGGTTTCGAAGCGGCGAGGAAAGCCCTTGAAATGATTGGCATGATGCGAACGAAGCTGCGCATGGCCGACGGGTGGTTTAAGACGATCAACCGCATGCACAAATACTTCCGCAAAATCAAGAACGACTACAAGAAGAATGTACAGGCGATCGAGAGCTCTTCCGAAGGCGACAGTCCCATCAGCACTCGGCATCTCAGCTTACGGGAAGGTGGTCTGGGCGGTGGACTAGACGAGTACAAACTTTTGGAACGGACCCTGATCGACTTTGGGAATCTGGAAGATCAAGACGTCGAGATGACCGATGCTAACCGCAATGACCCGAACAAACCTCTTGATGCAGTCTACGATGATAGCAGCCCTGGTACTACCGTCAAGAGCGAGGAGCATGGCGATCGGCTGCCAGCCGCGACTTCAGAGCCACAGCAGAAAGCGGATGGCGGTGCGTGGAGTGCCATTAATGCTGGTCCAGGTGCTCCTGCTGCTCCTTCAAGTCGTCACCCGAGCACTTCCACTCCGTCGAGTGGGCAATTCAGGAGCTACGACTCTTATCCTCATCAACAGCACTCCCAGCCTCCGCAGGCGGCTATTCCCTCATCACAAGCGCCGCCGCAGCCTGGATCATACCAACATCAGATTGGCGGCTTCAGACCTTCATACTCGGACAGACCTAGCCCATCTGCTGGACCGCCTCCAAGCTTGACTTCACCTGCATCCCAGTCAGCGACTGGCACAACACCTTCGCAAGCGCATCCTTCGCCTCCTTACGATCGCCACGCACCGGCGTACGGCGCGTGGTCTGCACCAACGCCCAATGGCACATACGGTATGCCACCACCACCGCCTAATCCGTATGCGAATGGCCCTGTACAGCACCAGTATCCTCCTTCTAATCACGTCACACCCACACACTCGGGATATCCTACTCCTGGTCATCCGCACCCGCCACACTCGCATAATGTCCCCGCTCCTCCGCAAGCTCAGCAAGCCCAGCAAGTCTGGGATCCGATGGCGAAGGAGGCGTGGCTCAACAGCATCGACACGCGGCTCGGCGGCGATGACGTGGCGGCTTTCGTGGATGGTGGTGAGCTCGCTGAATGGGCTAACATGGCAGCCTCGCAAGGCTTTGGGGGCGGTTGGCTCAGCGCCGTCTGGCAAGGTGGCCACGCCTAAAGTTGATCGGTGAAAGTGCTGGCACAAACGGTTGGAATTATCACTAATGCATCGAAGGAGAGCGCGTTTGGCAGAATTTGGGAGGATTCACGGAATTTCATGAACACACGCAACAGCTTTTAGGCTGATTGCCACGAGGATTGGGGCATCTCCTTATTACAGGCATGACGATACCCACGCAGCATGGCGGGATGTGGTGATGGAGAGGAATCAGCGATTGACTGCATTCGGCATGTGCAAATTTTCAGACGATACAATGTCGAATGAAGTCGAATGTGACGACATGAGCCACAGTCTGTGATCTCACTCTTCTTGCAATGCAATGCGAACCTGTTTGAGTCGCAGCTGCCGTTGTCTCAGGCGGTGCCTCTTGCCGCTTCGTGCGGCAGCGGAACCCTTGCCAAGAGCCTCATGTGCGAATTAGAAACGTCAATTCTCAAGCTCGCTCGTCACCTCGTCTCCAGACACAGACAGTATGACGAGCAAACGTAACTTCGACTCCATGGACGCCGAGGCCAATTACGTCCAAGCTTTTGCATCGTGAGTCCATTCAGATTATGCCACCCTCTCTCTCTCGCTGACGCAGGCATGTAGATCTTTCGACAGCGCCGCTTCCAGCAGCGACTTGACAGTACTATGCAACGGCACCGCCATCAAGTGCCACCGCTATGTCGTGAGTCGCCGAAGCGAGCGCTTGAAGGCAGTAATTGAGAGCGACGAATTTCGCGTCCGTGGCATCTCTTGCTCGTCACACTGTGTTCCCGACTGATTCCAGAGCCAGGATCAAAACGCGAGCAGCCTCGATCTACAGGATGAGACCGACGAAACAGCAGTTCACGCGATGCTCGAATTCTGCTATTCTGTCGACTACAAGCTGCCCTTCCCAGACACCTCCCTGTTCCACGTCCGCATGTACGCCTTGGCCGAAAGGTTCATCATCCCCGACTTGAGAAAGCTGGCCACAGATCGCTTTCGTGACGCCGCACAGATGGAGAAGGACGCCTCGCTTGCAGCCTCGATCAGGGAAGCGTACGCCATTACCACGGACACGGACAGGATCCTCAAGCAGACTATCATCGAAATTGTGCTGCGCAAAGCCCCGATGATATCCCGAAGCAAAGCATTGAACGAGCTCATGGACGAGATACCAGCATATGCAGCCGATGTGGCGCGAGCCGCGATGAAGAATCTGGTGGCACCGCTGAAGAGGAAGTACAGGTGTCCCGGCGGCTGTCCAGGAGGGTTCGAGGGGGTGCTCCTGCCTTCAGAGACTTACACGCACTACTGTGGCGTCCATCGAAATGTCAATGAGTGGACTATGATTGGGCACCAGTGGAATGCTCATTGGGGAAAGGACTATATCACGGACTGAGCTCGCTTGAGAGGCTCGTTCCGTCTGCATTTCTGGGGAGACCAGTACATGAGGCAGCTGTGCATGGCAGCGGTCCAAGAGATGACGGCCATGGTGCTGCTGTTAGGCGCCATTCCAGTAGCTAGGTAGTCGAAAAGGAATTGGAGCAGTGTCGCTGTTTGCGCCTTTTTCGCCGACAGCGAATACATAGAAGCACAAACTGGGTTGTCGTGTGGGCTTGTAGGCTTGTCGTCTGTTTCGGAGACATGAATGCTAGCTGAGATCCTGTTATGGTAAGGAGAAGCCGAGCTGGGAAAGTAGAGAGTGAGAGAAGGACCGTTGTTGCAGCAATCAAGAACATTCAGAAACAAACGTGATTTGCCACTATACAATCAACAGCCATGGAGAGAGCGGCCAGCGTCAAGCATTGCGCATGCCTCATGCGCTAGGTATCACATGAAAGCTCCGGCTGCGTCGCACTTACCAACGGAAGCGGGCCGCTCAAACATCGACTCCGCGTCGCGTCTTCTACCTCCTTCCAATCTCGACAGTCTCCCGCCCAGCTGGCCAGCCCGTGCGATGGTCAGACATCGCCGCCAATCGAAAGTCTACACGTAAGTGTTACACTGGACTCAACATCTAACAGTCTCATTGAGCTGTTTGGCAGTCACGTAGACTTGAGTTGACACGCTTGCTAATGACTCCTCCAGACCCACACGCAGCTTCGATTGAGAGCGTCCTCGATACGGTCGAACTCGCCGAGAACGTCTTGCGCTTCCTCGGTCCCCGCGATCTGCTCCGTATTCAGTCCACCTGCAAGCCAATTGATGCCCTCATCCGCACTTCGCCGACTCTCAAGAAGGTACTATGGCAGCAGTCAGACGACCTTGATGAGATACGTTGGGTCCTGCTTTCGTCGACTCCATTCTTTTGGCAGCGCCCAATCTGTGGTGGTGCTCGCGCCAAAGCATTGATCGCCAAGGGAGACAATTCCTCGATTAAGTAGTGCTTCTGTGATTATAATTACAATCATCATCTCAGCAAATACCCCTACAAACACTATAATTGTGAGTGATTTTGTGGGTCTAGGAATCAAAAACAAGCGTGATCATCGCGTTTAGGATGTTGGATGCTTCAAGCCACGATTGCATTGTTTTCTGATTCGATCTCACTTCTCTTCAACGGCAAACCTGAAGTCCCAATCAGGTTGGCTAAAGTACTTTCAAGTTGCTCGACCGGAGGCAGAGAATGCAAGCCTCCGCCCAATTGCAGCGATGGTCCCGCCGAGCACACTTTTGGACCAGCAAGGCTTCCGCTTAGGGTGTTGACCACGATCTCTTGGACATTAGGACTATAAGGCTCGCCGAGATGGCCAACAACTTCTTGAGGGCAGTAATCCTGAATGAAGAAGTTTCGCACGCCAGGCTCATTAACGAAAGCGGTCTCGGGCGGCGTGACGACCTCATCTTGTTTTGAAGTCATGATCGTGTAGTGAATGCCAGAAACCGCAATCGGACCTTGATTCAAAGCTCTTACGGCAGGACCGTCCTGGCCGTCGCCTTTCCCTCCCAGGTCATCGCATGCCCCACAGCCCAGTGTTTCCAATACGTCTCCAACCAGGTCACGAGTGAGATTTCCCCCGAGATACGCGAGCAGATATAGTCCGGACACAGTTGTGCCTGTACAGTCATCAGCCAACATCCGACCTTACCTACATCAAGAGCTGAAACTTGCCATGCGTAGGAGGTCCGATGGCAACAACATTTCGAACCACAGCAGCGACCTGGGGATAGAATTTCGGAACGTAGAGCGATTGAAAGGCTCCTTCGGAATGCCCGACAAGATCAATGTTCGCGTTCCCCGTCAATCTTGCGACTTTCAGAATGAAATCTGCCACCTCTCGCGAGGAATCTGCAATGCTTCTCACCCCTCCAAGGAGAGTTATACCCAAAGGCACTCCGTACGTGAACGAGAATGTGCAGAATCCTTGAGACTTGAGGTAAGCTTCCAAGAGGTTGATGTTGGTGTAATACGTCGACAAGAGGCCATGGATCATCACCACCTACCGTTTCCTGTCAGTTGCACTTCTACAGATACTCGCACGAGTGTTGCCTTACCGGATTAGGATGGGTCGTGCTTCGACAGGAGTAATCATTCTCCGGATTCTGGGGATATGACAAATCCTGTCTTGGTACGACTGTCGCCAGACTGGTGATTGCCAACAGCAGGAGCGCCCAAAATGCACTACACACTGCCATCTCGCCCTACACGCTGGAGGCCCTCATGATGAGCGCGCGAGCTGCTTATCATAGTGAGATGGAGAACCAAGCCTCGGCCTCAGATGTGCAGTACGGTCAACAAACTTTAAGCTTTGACCACGATAAAATGAGTTCGACACGGTTGACCGTTGTACCTCCACGTTCGGGCTGTTCGCCGCGCTATACGGAGTATACAAGCTGTCAAGACGTTTCAGGCGAGGGGTCTGCCTGTAGAATATTTTTGTCATGTTCTGTTTCCGGGTCATCCGCCGCATTCGTTTGGCACGGATCTTTGGATCTGGTTGCGTCGCCTTGCGACTTTGAGAGGAGGCTCGACCTAGGATTGTTGTCATGGCAGGGATATCAGGGCCTGGCTGCCGAGCTCTCGTTTAATTGCGAGCGAAGCTCGCCTTACACCAACAAGGGTACTACAGTGGCTAAATGTGCTAAGTTGTCACCACGTGACTCCCCGGACTTCGAAAGCTCAAGATCTGATTGGCTGAGTTGTATACGAACTAGTGGGACGGACAAACTCGGCCTCCGAAGACATTACGTGCCTGCCTTTTACGTCACTTCCTCCAAACCGTAACAATGCGACAATAATAATACGCTAGTACTACCTACCTACCCTCGATATGCGCTAATATCACGATGCGACAATACTACGACGCGCTAACAGCAAAAAGCGCACCGCACTAAAGCCTATTATACTAAAGCGTACCGTACCTCCGTAAACCGTACCTTTAGCGACCTTCGGTAGCGAAAGAACGAAAGAACAATCGAGTATTAAGAGCTATAGACAGTGCTACGGATAGGCATATAGACAAAAGAAGCTAGCAAACAAACTAATAAAGATAGTACCGACTAAGGCCGACTAAGGCTAAAAAAAAGAACCTAAAGCTCGGAAGCAAAAAACTATAGATAGGCAATACCCGGAATTACTCTTACGGACACAATATAGCCCTCGAGCTTATAACCCTTTAAGACACGTTACAAATCGACTAAGTAAATATACCTACTAGACTTCGACCTTATATGCCTTATAAGAAGGCGCTACTATAAAAAACTAGGCGGACTAATTTCTTTAATAGTATAAGGCAGGACCCGCCGCTAGTTTATTAGGCTGCTAGCTGCCTTAGAAAAGGCCGAAGCCTAAGGACCGAAGCCTAAATCCTATAAGTTCCCTACGTAACTTAACAACTAGGCGCAAAGGATTACTATAACTCCTATACCTAGTTATAGCTAGGCGTCGCTTCGTTATTAGTCGATTGTTATTAGTTAAAGGTTGTAAATTGTAGTACTATTATATACCCTTATTGCTACTATCTATAGTAATAGCTTAGTTAGAAGGGGAAGGTAGGTAGGTAAGGTTTAAATACTATACTAGTTAAGGGTTTAATTCCGTATCTAGAAGCTATATTATCGATATTAAGCTAGTATCTATATTGCTATATACTAAACTAGTACCTAAACTCGCCCCGTCCGAAGCCTACTAAGTTAAGTCGATTTAGCGTGTTTCTAGCAAAACTATACTAGCAAAAGTAATTAATACGATAACGACGGATGCCTTAGGCTCTAAGAACCTAGTAGGAGAATAGTATCGCAGCTCCTAGCAGATAAGACCTGCCGGCAACCCCTAACCTATAAAGGACTTACGCTTAATATACTCTCTACTAAGCTATCGCTAGATTAAATACCTACTACTCGCCTAGTGTTACTAAAGCGGTAGGCTCCCTTCCCTCTAAGCGATAACGTTAGTAGAAGGAACGTAGATACTAAAGCGGTAGGTACGGGGGGTTTAGAAGGAGCTTACGACGACTATTCCCCCCTACTCTAAGCGATAACATTAGTAGAAGAAATATAGATACTAAAGCGGTAGATACGGGGGGTTTAGAAGGAGCTTACGACGACTATTCCCCCCTACCCTAAGCGACAACGTTAGTAGAAGAAATGTAGATACTAAAGCGGTAGATATAGGGGGTTTAGAAGGAGCTTACGATAACTATTCCCCCCTGCCCTAAGCGACAATGCTAGCAACTAGAGGGTACTAAAGCGGTAGGTACGGGGGGGTTTAGAAGGAGCTTGCGACGACTATTCCCCTCCTACCCTAAGCGACAATACTAGCAATATAAGGGTACTAAAGCGGTAGGTATAGGGGGTTTAGGAGGAGCTTGCGACGACTATTCCTCTCTGCCCTAAGCGATAACGCTAGTAATATAAGGGTACTAAAGCGGTAGGTACGGGAGGTTTAGGAGGAGCTTATAACGACTATTCCTCTCTACCCTAAGCGACAACGCTAGTAATAGATAGGGATACTAAAGTAGCCTATAAAGGGCAATAATAGTAAAGGCAGGTAGGCGAGAGTTAGGCTTAAAGTTAGTTATAGTCGCGTTATATAAACGATATACGGGTAGATATTAGTTGCCGACTAGAATCGTATATATATAGACCAAACAGTACTAGTACTAGTGCTAGTACTAGAAACAGTAAGAGGCTTTCTTTACTCGCATCGTAAAAGCGACTAGGCACCTAAGGCAGGTTTTTACGTTACCTATTGCTTTCTTTCCTTCTTCCGGTAGACTTCCGCTTTCCTATACTTGTACCTATACCTATACCTGCACCTATACCTATACCTCGACCCTTCCTATATACGTATACCTATCCTTCCTGCCTATAGTATATTCTGTTTGCTTCTAGATACTATATACTATATACTGCATACTATATACTATATACTATATACTATATACTATATACCGCATATACTATATACTATATACTATATAACAAACACTAAACACTAAACACTAAACATACGAGACTACCGCATCGGCCGATACTATATGCCTAAAGCCGCGCCTATCGTCGGAGTACTACTTCGTAGACGATAAGCGCATTTAGGACTATAATCGCCGAGTAGAGCACTCGATTCGGCGCTTTACGCGTTAGAGTTAGAAGCAGTTTAAAGGCAAATCTAATATTAATATTATACGGAAGTTGCGCCTTAATCGTTATTAGTTAATCCGCGACGTCCTCCGACATTATAGCCGCTAGCTACGTCGCCTAAACCTTAGTCGATTATTTATCCTAGAGCAATCTCGCGGCTCGAATATCTACGTCGGTACTAAGCCCTAGATAGTTAATATTTAGGGATATACGTACTCGAGTCGTACGCTTACGGATAATAGTAAATATACGATTAACTACCTATGCTATAGCGTCTTCGAGAACTCCGAATACGACCCTAACGGTATACCGACTACTCGTATTGCTATTCCTAATCCGCCTCGATTTATAGGTAGTAGTAAGCTTCGCGCTATACCGCCGCCTAGGGCGAATAATAATATGCCTATATTATATTAGCCTCGACCTGTATCTACCGCTCCTTCTTACTCTTTGCCTCTAGTCGGGCTTAGTGCTACTGCTGCCGTAGTAAGAGTAGCGTAGTCGACACTTCTAAACGAGGAGTCTATACTTCTAAACTAGTAGCTATTTCCTTCTAATCGTAAGTAGCTATCTACTTAGAAATGCGACAATTGTAGCTAGATTAAGGACATCTATTAATTCCTTAATTAGAGACGAAAGGGTAGTCTACCGGTAAAGCGATATACTGCTTGCCGAGCGATAGTTATATTTAAGAATATAGCTAGAAATTAGGAAATTGCGAAGGGCAACAAGCGTTCTACGCTAGGGCCTGCACCCTTAGGTCTAGCGACTCTAGCTCTACGATAACGAACCCTAATATCTACCTCCGATGCTACTCTTAGTATAATAGGGCCCCCTTTACCTCTATGCCCGTATTATCTATTAAGTTAGCTAAGCCTAGACACCTAGGCATAATAGTAGGAGTATACTAGAGCTAGTCGCGACGCCCGTTATTAGGCCTATTAAACTCGGCATAAAGGCGACGTTAATAATTACCCGATTAGTATACCGGCGCCTCCTCCTATAGGCTAGCGTCTAGTAGTATAGCATTCTTAGCAGTCTACGCTTCAATTATCGTAGCAAGATCGAGCCCGTTCTTCGCAATTCTAGTAGATCGCCGATAACACCCCTCTTAGTACTAATCCCTTCTTTATATATATTAAGTATAGTAAACCTCGACTATAGTAAGACTAGAGTAGCGCGGAGGACAACTATTATTAATACTACAAGGAAGGACGTATAGGGGAAGATCCTATTAACGAGAACAAGTAGTATATATATAGCAAGCATAATAGCAATCGCTTTAGCTTCTAACGAGCAGGCTTACCTAAACTTTGTAAAGCTTGTATCTAGCACTTTCCTCGATAGTAATAGATCCTAACTACTCCTACCGCGCGATACTCCGGTAGTGCTTATAGTCTAAGCGCTATATAATAGAGCGATGTCCTAATATCGGTAAGTTCTTAGACTTCGCAGTTAATACCGGCGCCCTTACCGCGAGGTTCTTAGTAGGCAATTTCGATACCTCGACGCGCTATTATACCGAACGTACGTATATAGCAAGATCGATAAGACCGCTTCCTTGCTTATTACGATCCGCTATTAGTGCCTATCGACTAGTAGTTATATACTCCCGCTCTCGATGCCGAAGACTAAGAGCTTCTATACGACTTTTGCTCTACCTTAGACGCTAATTCTCTTAAGACGTATAATCGGTGCTATAAGACTTAGTTTAGTATAAACATTAAGAAGAACAAAGGCATTTGTAGTCGTTGCGTTAATCGAGATGCTTCTAGTAAGATGTAGCTAGGCGACCTATTCTTATATAGCGATAGGAACAATATAGACCCTAGACCTATTCTAGATAAGTTATCCGGGCTCTCGACTGCTAAGGAGCTTCTTATTGCACGCGTCTATATATAGATGTCGGTTTTTTGCGTTCGTAGACAGCAATACTAGTACCGTAGCTACATCTACAACTTCCTAAAGGATGTTGTAATAGTCTATACTAAGCTACCTCGGATCGTACGAGAGTTAGACCTCGTAGTACTTCGCCTACGTTAGAAACTATAGAGTACGT